TTTCTGGCCCACATGTGATAACATCCTAAGTGTGCCTCCAAATCATGTACGGCATCAGACGCCTTGAGCTCTTTCCTGCTATTCACAGATCCCAACTTGAAAAACAAAACAAAATAGTTTAATATCCTAGATTGTTGTACAGTCAGCTGTCCATATCCATGGATATTTTTTTTAATCCACCGATTCAAGCCTCCAAGATCTGGAAACATTTGTTGCTGTTGTTGTGTGCTGTCAAGTCGTTTCCGACTTATGACGTCCTTAGGTCATAGGGTTTTCTTCAGAAGGAGTTTGCCATTGCCATCCTCTATGGCTGAGATATAAATTGCAAAAAACAAACCCTGATTTTGCCATTTTATATAAGGGAGAGCTTATATTATTAAATATAATGACTATGCCATTGTATTTAATGGGACTTCAACATCCACAGATTTTGGTATCCACGGGAGACCTGGAACCAAACTCCAGCAGATACCAAGAGTCCTCTTTAATTTGATGTACATTTTAAAATCTAAGCCTCCTTTGGGCCCATCCAGGAGCAAGAATATAAATTAATTTAACAACAACCTGCTATCAAAGAGTTTGGAAATGCCAGTTACCAATAACACTTGCAATTCATTCCTTTTTTGCAATGATTAAGGCATGGCAAAATTACAATTGCAGCTACACAAGGGATAGGGTTGTTCCTTTGTCAGTGCAACTGTAACTATTTTTGTTACTTTTATAGTGATGCATTCATGATTTAAATATACAGGTATTGTGTATCTCAGGCCAATAGCTTACAAAAAAAAAAAGTAACAGAAGGTACATATTTCGTTTGCCTTTGAATGTGTGAAAGCAAAACTTTTGAAAATTGTAACAGTATCTACCTACTTTAGGGATCTTTGCAGTGAAACTGCAGCCAAATATTTGTAAATATTAAACCTCTAGCCTCTGAGCTGCCCCAGCAAGAAAGATATTCAAATGATATTAACAACAACTATTATTATACAACAACAACTATATTATTATTATTATTATTATTAAATTGTAGTTAAAATTGAACACAGAGACCTTGAAAAGTAAATTGCAACTTAGGTTTTGAACCAGCAAGGTATAGCAGTTTGAGCACTGGGTCACTTTAAATTGGAAACAACTTAAAGGCATACGACAATAATAACAAACAACAACAATAACAATAAGATATAGAATCACACTAATGGTATCCCACAACTGATAAGGTTCTATCATTTGGTATTCATTTTGTTGTACTATTTATAGTTTTATTGATCTGGTTTTTGTGTTTTGCTTTTTTCTTTAACTTTGTGACTGTAAGCTACCTTGAAGTGAGGTTTGCAAAGTGAAATGCAAAATTTATAACTACCGTGGCATATAATTCCTCTTTTGCTCTGTTAATGATGACTGCACACAGTTTACAGACAAGGCAAAAGTAGATTCAGATAACTATTTTTTAATTTTTATTTTTTTGTTCATCAAACTTGACCATTTTATTTTTCAGTTGCCTTGTGCTGGAAAGAATTACAGTAGAAAGATCATGGAAATCAGCTCTTGGGCATCATACCTTCAGGTATTTCTTAAAAAACTGCAGGAGACAAACTGTCTCTAGGTGT